GAGATGTGAATTTACGTTCTTCTGTGTGAGGGGATGTTATCACATTTCTCTCTTATGACCTTGTATCTCTAGCAGGCTGCTATTGTAGTCTTATTCACAATGATCGGAACTTTGATTTTTTTTTTCTTAAAATATTTAAACTAGCAGCCCCTGTAAGAGGCTTCTGTGTAATGGACGAGGAGGCAGACTCACAGAGACGCAGAGACTGAACTGCATTCCAAGCCAATGTAAAGTTAACAGAGTATGTAGGTTTGTGTTTGCTTTTCTTTTTTTGCCTTTCAAGACAGGGTTTTTCCTGTGTGGCCCTGGCTGTCCTGGAACTTGCTTTGTAGACCAGGCTGGCCTCAGACTCACAGAGATCTGCCTGCCACTGCCTCCTGAGTGCTGGGATTAAAGGCGTGTGCCACCATGCCCACCACAGAGGATGTTTCAGTAAGCGAGCGCCTTGAGAGTAAAGTATGAGAGCCGGCTCAGCAGTTAGGGGCACTTTCCAGGACCTGGTGGCTCACAAGCTGCTGTAACTCCTGTGGCAAGGGGATCTAGATCTTTCTTCAGGCCTCCCATGCCACTGTGTGCAGACACTCACACATACACATGAAACAAAATAAAATTTAACAGACAGAGCTCCCAAAGGCCCCTTCATTGCCTCATCTCTTCATGGCATTATTACCCAGTACACAGTACCCCATGACCTAGACTGTAACACTCCCGTAAGACAAGAGACTGTAAGGTACTGTGGTTACTGCTGGAACAAAGCCTGCCTAGCACCAAGAACTTGGTACTTTTCTCTCTTTCTTTCTCTCTTTCTTTTTCTCTCTTTTCTTTCTTTCTTTCTTTCTTTCTTTCTTTCTCTCTCTCTCTCTCTCTTTCTCTCTCTCTCTTTCTCTCTTTCTCTCTCTCTTCTTTTTTTTCTCTCTCCCTCTCTCTCTGTCTCTTTCTTTCTCTTTGGTTTTTAGAAACAGGGTTTCTCTGTGTAGCCTTGCTGTCCTGGAACTCACACTGTAGATCAGGCTGGCTTTGAACTCACAGAGATCTACCTGCCTCTGCCTCCTGAGTGCTGGCATTAAAGTCATGTGCTACCATGGTCTGGTGTTGATCAATACTCTTGAAAGTTGAAAAATTATGGAAGAATTCATGTATATGTTCACCAAAGAAAAACTGATTTCTCTTAAAGTTAAATTGGAGAGTGCTTGACCGTCTCTGGGTAAAAGCATAGCGTTTTAGGCCAGCTATGTCATTCATTGATGGCTGAGATGCACCAGGGTTTCATGTTTACCTGGGGTGGTACTTAGATAACACCAGCAATAAAGCAAGCAAGATTAGTGACAGCATTTCTCTTTTACAATTCATTCCCTCCTAAAAAATAAAGAACAAAAAAAAGAGATGAAAAAGAGATTTCAGTTAAAGGTTACAAAAAACAAAAAACCAAGTTTCTTTAGTGTCTTCCAACAAGGAGATTTGTAGAAATTTGGCCACCAACTTCAGTGTCTGATTCCTGACTGCTCTACTGTCAAACAAAGCACATCACAAAGATAATAAAGCCAAAAATAGGCTCAAAGACCTCAGAACTAATCACCTCACAATATATTCGCTGTCTCCCAGGTATGTCCTCATAAGCAGGGAACGTCTAAATAAAGGCACTGAGCCCTCACCAATGCACTGAGTGTGCACTGCCGGTGTGCACAAACTGGACTTTGGCAGGCATCCTTCTGGAGCAGGTCTGCCTTTCGACACTGGAGCAACACAAAGGCTTAATTTTTTGACCATTTATTTGATAACAAAGAGTTTTAGGTGTGTAGCTTTTAACGCAGCAGCCACCAGGCACACGAGCAGTGAGTGTGTGACTCACTCATAGTCTAAGAGGTAGGGTGTGAACAAGAAAACGGTGCAGGGCATAGTGTGCACACACCTTTAAACACTTGGGATGCAGAGCTGGAAGGTCTTGTGAGTCTGAGGCCAGCCTGGTTGGGCTGCATAGTACGCACCAGGATAGCCAGGGCTGTACAGAGACCTTGGAAAGGGCAGGGATTTAGGATATTTTAATTTTTTTTAATATTACTCACAGTTGAAATGAAATTTTGGAAACATGGGTTGAAGAAAATATTTGACTAAAGTTTTATCTGTTTGTTTTCACCTCTTTATAATGTATCCCCTCAAATATTCAGGGTGACAAACATGACTTACATCCCTGTTGGAAAGTTCTTTTGTAGATACCACAATCCTGGGCACAGCTCGACATGCCAACAGCCATGTGGAATGGTCACTATTTAAATTCAAGGTCAGTTGGGACAAAGTTTCTGTGAAGTAAGACTGAGGCTCATTTAGCCAAGTGACTTCCTATCTCTGAGCCTTAAAGACATTATTCTCCAAAGTAAGGAATACATTGATATACCACCTATTGTTTGTTATGGAGAATGGTCAGTAGAAAAGCTAAACAAAGGAGATTCAATTCAGAGTTCTTGTTTAAAAAACGGGGGAGGGGAGTGCTGTGGGACATGATCTGTACCCTGTCACTTGTATTTTAAGTAAACGCTAATTGGCTGGTAGCCAGGCAGGAAGTATATGCGGGGTGACCAGGCAGGAAGTAGAGGCAGGGCAACAAGAATTCTGGGAAGAGGGAAGTCAGTCTGCAGTTGTGACCCAGCCACAGAGGAAGCAATATGAGCATGCCTCACAGATAAAGGTATCAAGCCACGTGGCTAACATAGACAAGAATAATGGGCTAGTTTAAGAGGTAAGAAGTAATTAATAAGAAGCCTCAGCTACTAGGCAAACCAGTTTATAATTAATGTAAACCTCTGTGTGTTTCTTTGGGACTGAACTACTGTGGGAACCGGGCAGGACAGAAACCTCTGCCAACAACTTTTCTGTATAATATAGTTTTTAGGCCCATACTTGGAAATCAGAGGCAGCTATGACTTCACCGTGATGACCTAAAACCTCGTGCCCTTCTTTCTTTAGAGTCACTTTACCTTTAGTTTTGATAATGTAAAGAGGAATGGTAGAAAAAAAAACAAAACAAAACCCCGAGTCAGGTACTGAGTGATCCCTCCCGTTGCTGCCCCTTCTCTTCCTGCTGATGTCACCAAGTTCTTTTGATGATGGGAGCATTAGAAGTTGCTGTCACAATGACACCTGAGGTAACATGTTGTCCTTGTGACTACTAAAAATAGAACCTTGTCTCATCTGAAAAACTTTAGGAGGTTTTTAAAACAATTCTAATCTGAATTTCCTTTGCTGTTTTTCTTGCCTTTCTTTATAAATGATTTTTACTTATGGACATGTATCTTGAAAGATGTGTGTATGGAAGACATGTTTTTCGATACTGTCTTCTAAGGCAGAGCTGGTTCCACCTCATTATATTTCAGGATGTTTCATGGCGCTTACTTTCACGATTGTAGAAATAACACAGTTTCAGGTCTTTAAAGAGCAAGAAAGCACAAGGAAAATATGGTAAATGCAGTCATGCTATTACACTCACTGAGATAACCACATGTAATTTGAGACCACAAGTACCTTTATTTTCCCCTCACCTTTAAAACCAATCTTGCTTTTTCCTTGAAAGAGATACAAATATATGTATACGTATGTGCACATGCTAAATAATTCCAATAGAAAAAAGGAGATTTGATTCGCATCGAGTTGTTCTGCTTAGCATCCGACCCTCTGCCTCAGTACCAGACACTGATATGGGCTTCATGTGGTTTGTTCTATATTTTCTCCTTGTCCATACAGGTACGTATGTTTTAAACACATGACTTCTTTTATTCAGTAGGGGACTACAAATGTCAGCATATGAAACACATGCTTGTTCATTTCACTTTCTCACCCAACAGAGTTTGGCGATCATCCCACGACACCTGCTACAGACACATTTCATTCCTTCCTATGAGTAAGGCATTTCTTATTCACAAATATAACTCTGTGTTGGCTTTCAATCGCCAGACTTTACGCCTGCCATGCTGGAGTACTGTTCTCTGCTACTATGTCACATAAACCTGCAGAGCTAGTTCCTGGAGTTTATATGCAAGATAAAGTTCGTCATCTTGGTAACAACCAACCTTAGCCTAGAAACCCCTTCTTTTAAATACCCAGATGTGCTGGTCAGATTCTGAATAGTGTAGCTCTTAATATTACTACTAAAACTGAGCTCTGGATATTTCCTTTCTCTGTGTTAAAAGGTAGATGTGGGCTGTTGATGGCTAAAAATGCTTGCCACGGCTTGGCAGCCTGAGTTTTAGTCCTGGAACTCACTGTGGAGGAAGAGAACGGGCTTCTACACACATACATTATCTGACATCGGGGTCTCCTCCCACCTCTGTCCTCTCTCCTTTCCACATTTACTGACAAACCCTAGAAGCTGAGGCAGAGCACAGCATCTTCATGCCCCTTTCCTACTGTGACTTCTCTGTGCAGCCAAGTTCTTTCCAGGCAGACAGCTCAGCCTCAGCACAGCAGAGGCCATGACATCGCTGCCAGAGTATGCTCATACCCTCACCCCAAGTGTGCTGTTTTCAGGGATTTCAATACATCCTTTAGCCCATTAGCCACTTTTGGGGCACACCCCAGTTATCAAAGGTCACGCCATTCTGCATCACATAAAGATGTCCACTCTGGAATCCCCCGTCACGGACACTTCTCCTCAGCCTCAATTGCATGCCTTATTACCCATAGCAGGGTCTATATAGTTGCCACTATAGCAAGAAGGCATTCCACCACATACCATATGCCCCATGGAAGCGTTCCTTCAGAACAGTCCCTGAAGACACTCCACCATCAGACAGTTCAGCCTCAGCTGCATGCGTTAACCATTGTAACAGGCCACACAACTGCACCTCCAAGACTCATCTTTGGTTCTGTTGTTCCTATGAAGATACCAAACATTACTAGGCTTTTCCTGGGAAGTGTGCTTATAATTCATCCCAGATAAAGGAAATAACAATCAATTAAAGAAATTATTCTATTCCAGTCTATCTTTGTGAATCAAAGAGTTATTGATGTTACTTAAAGATCATGGAGAATTTATTGTCTAGTTACATTCACACACACACACACAAAACCTCTTTCTTTTCTAGAAACCATTAACCATTTATGTATCTTCGGGGGGCATGAAGGAGCCTCATGAATCTCATGAGCCCTTCCCTCCTCCCATGAGGGAATGTTGATGGGCCCTATCTTGTGAGGGCTTCAGAGATGACCACAGCTTCCCTGATTCAGTATAGCAGTGATGCCATTCCTGAAGAAAGCAGCCACAAGACCGTTCTCATCAGCTGGGATATTTCGTTTCCTTTTCTAGTTCCAGGATCTATTCTGTTCCATCATGAGCTAGCACACTATTGTTTGCAGCATTTGCTCAATGCGAAATTACCGCCTCTCCGTCCGCTCCCAGCGGACTCACTCTGTGACCGCTCTGTCCCTTATTGAGTCACTCAACACGGATGTGAGCTGAAGGTGAGCTCACTGTTGGTGAGCTTGCCATTTGGTAGCGGATTTTTATCGTTAAAATATTCCAGGTACTAATTTTCCAAAGAAACTGATACTCTTCAATTCAGAAATATGAGGAAAGGGCGAGGGGACTATACTTCCTTTCTAAGAAATTCATAATGCTTAAAATTCCAAGAGAGCTTAACCGTCTCAATATCAGGAGTCGTATCCTTACGTAAATCCCAGCAAAATTCTGGTGACAAGATTTTAGTGGGTTTGTGCAGAAAGAAATACTTATTTAAGTGGCTTTCATCGTGCCAAACGGCTTCAATATTATTTTTCTTATCATTCATAATTCTTCGGGCACACTCCTGAGTGATCTTGAGAACCTGGGTGGTTGTGCCTCCAAACACAGCAGCATGGTAATAAAAATCCCCCTGCCCCAGCGGTATGTAAGCTTCCGACGCCTCGTTTCTCTCATAAGGCACCTTGTTCGGACTTTCCTTATACCAGTAGGTGTGTAACTGAGCTACGGACTCTCCCAGGGTCTCCAGACCATAGCTGCCTTTGAATATTTGATCCACATCCATGCAGAAGACATAGTCCACTTCGTGCCGTATGTGATCAGCGATGTGTTCACTGATGGTCTTCATGCGCATCATACTGATGTCCTGCCACCTCCTCTCTTGCTTAACTTTAAAAATTTTATACGTCCGGAGACGATTCAGACTTATAAATGGCATACGGGAAAAGTCGTCCAACATGACATAAATGATGACCCTTTGGTTTACCATGAAGAACATATTAGCAGATAGCAGAAAGCTTTCCAAGTAGTACTCAAGGTATCTGCAAAATAAATAAGAAGCAGTTGAGTTCCCTCCTCCAGTTTTTGTGGAACATACACAGTCTCAATTGCCTGGTCCTAGCTTTTCCAGCAATGCAACCATGCAACCAGATAGCCACTATTCGCTTTGAGCAGAGTAGGAGAAAGTGACACTAATGGGGTCTATAGATCATGGGACGGAAGAGAGGCTCTTCGTGAGAGGGAACGGTGAGGTAAGGAGGTGCATTTTGAGCTGGGTGCAAAATGAAGGCCAGAGTTCAGGGTTGCCAGGGCAATGCAGCCGGGAAGGTGGAGGGAGTCTGCTCAGGCTCCTGCGGCTGAGCCTTCCATACACCGCTGGCTCTGCATACCAAGTCAGTGTAGTAGCTGGCACTCTGTTGCCCACATTGCTCTGTACTGTGAGCCTTCCTGCGGGAGCAGGATCACTGTGCAGAAACACATGTTCTCATTTCTACTCTTGGAAACCAGGAAGAGATTCTCGGGGCAATGATGGACTCAGGCAAGTTTGAAAGAGGAAAGGTAGTCATTTGGGGCTCCACTTCAGTAATGCTATGGAATCCTTAGAAATAAGTCCTGGAGGCCGGGCGTTGGTGGCGTGTGCCTTTAATCCCAGCACTCAGGAGGCAGAGGCAGGCAGATCTCTGTGAGTTCGAGGCCAGCACAGGCTCCAAAGCTACAGAGAAACCCTGTCTCGGAAAACCAAAAAAAAAAAAAAAAAAAAAAAAAAAAAAAAAAAGAGGAAATAAGTCCTGGATATTGGTCTACATTTTGAGAAATAGGCTAATGATAAACCATACCCAACAAATGTTGTAGTTCATCAAATATTATCTGTGAAGTATGAACAACATTGCTGAAGTTGTTCTGTGCTCGGTGCTGCCGTTCAGATAAAGGGGGTCCTAGCTGCCCATATGCCCATATGTCTTGTGGCCGGTCCAGAAACCTCTGCTCGCTAATGAAAACATTCTCTTCCGTCTTCTTCTAGCCGCTTTATTCTTTCACTGCTGCCCAGCATCTGTCTGCATTACATTTTACAGATGAAGTGGTGCAGGACATCTCTTAAAAGGGGGTCCATTTAATTAATCAGTTGGACACTTGATGTGGTATCAGTTAAGAAGGTGTAGTCCCCCAGTCTCACTAGCGAGAGGTGTCTATGAGCATTGCACAGTTACACGTATGTATGAAAGTGTCATAATAAATCCCTTGTCTGTAAGCTAAATTTAAAAAATTGTGCAGTGTCCAATATAATGTTCACATATTTATGAATTTTCCTTGTTTTATCCTATAATCGATTTAAAATTTTTCATTCCAATGTGATCATAGAAGACATTTTGTTCAGTTTTAGTTTTATAATTTATTTTAACTCTTGTGTCTAAATATGGCCTACCACAGAAAATACTTCCGGCATCTAGAGAGAATGCCGATTGAGTGGACTGTTCAATAGCAGTGCTGTGATACTAAGCATGTACACGAGAGAAGAGAAGAAAGAGACTGGCCTCATTAAGCCACAACACTGTTGGAAGATCTGTTACCCCCAACAAAGATGCTAAGACTGGGCCTGTCTCTCCTGAGCAGCGCCGCCGAACCTTCAGCACACACTATGAGGTCTGACGATTGCACACACGCCCAACTCAATGTCTCCTACACTTGGTCTACACTTTATGTCTGGCAAATAGTCTTCAGAGTGTCATGTTTGATTGTAGTATGTCCTAATTTTACAGAACCTAAAGTGCTCTCTCTCTCTCTCTCTCTCTCTCTCTCTCTCTCTGTGTGTGTGTGTGTGTGTGTGTGTGTGTGTGGTCAATCGTTACTGTCTGCAGCATTTCAGAAGAGATCCGTGCAGCGTCCACACCTTTCCATCTTAAAATGGAAAGATTTCATTGCATTTGTTTTCCCTTTGGAGTGGTCGGCTTTTATGGCTTTAGTTTTCTGTTTAATTAGGAATTCCGCATAGATTTGCTTTTGTTTTAAAAATACTGGATGATTTTTATATGTTCTTTTGCAGGGGTTGTTTTGGTTCATTTTTTCCAGACAGGGTTTCTCTGTGCTGAAACTCTGTAGATGAGGCTGGCCTTGAACTCATGGAGATCTGCCTGCCTCTGCCTCTCTAGTGCTGGGATTAAAGGCATGTACCACCACTGCCCAGCTATATACTTGTTTTTTAACATTATGGTAGTGGTCAGAAAAATGTAGCATATAAAAATTCTGCTGCATAGGACTACAGCTCCCTTATTTTGTTATGTTCCTCTGAGAGTCGATATGCAGAGCTAAGTGGGATTTTCCAAAGGCAGTTACTTATCACCTGTGGGTGCATAGGAGAGAGAAAATTACTGGCTTAAATGGAGGGATGAGGAGGAGAGTGGTTATAACAGAGGTATGAACTTATTTTAAGATGACTGGTAAAAGACCCACAAAATTAAGCTAATATTGGAGGAAGATCATGAAGATCAGAACATAGAGGGAAGCTGGGGAATTGGAATCCTTTTGTGTGGACCACGTGAGAGGTGACATTTTGAATTATGGCAAGAATTGGCTTAGAGAGAATAATTATAAAGCAGCTTAGCCTCCACTTTCTACAATGAAAATCCCGAGTGTGAGGGACACTTGACATTAGTACCTACCTCCCCACTGCAAACACAACCAGCCCCACGCCTGAGTGTGAGGGACACTTGACATTAGTACCTACCTCCCCACTGCAAACACAACCAGCCCCACGCCTGAGTGTGAGGGACACTTGACATTAGTACCTACCTCCCCACTGCAAACACAACTAGCCCCACGCCTGAATGTAAGGGACACTTGACAATATTACCTCCCCACTGCAAACACAACCAGCCCCACGGCAACTGGATGCTTTTTATAATACTTTTTCAAGGCTGACTCATTGTAAGTGTCAGTCCACACAATCGGAGCTGACCAGTTGGTAGTTCTCATACGCATGTGTGTCGAGTTCATGCCGTATCTGTAAGAAAGAATTTTAAAGTAAAATATGTCTTCCTGGCATCAGGAGAGTTACTACCAATGCCCAAGGCCTTGTATCTGAAGGCAGTGACCCACTGTGTCTAACCCAAATCAGTGATAGCTCTGACAAACCAGAGAAGCACCACATTAGAAATGACCCAATCCTCAGGAGGCTGAGACAACTGTGAGGTCAAGGTCAGCATGGGCCATAGACTGAGACTAGGTCTCAAAAAATCTATATTTAAAAAGTAAATAATCAAAGGAAAGAAAGAAAAGAAGAGACTAGAAAGATGGTCCAACCACTAAGAGTGTATATTGCTCTTGCAGAGGACCACAGGTTGGTGCCCAGCACTGGGGTAACTCACAAACTTTTATAACTCTAGCTCCAAGGGATCCAATGCCCCTTCTCTCCTTGGCACTAAGCACACACACTTCCGACACTGCCACCTGTGCCACCTACCAACACTTATGAATTAACCTCACAGATTCAGATTTGCATTCTTACGTGGAATTAAACCAGTTTGTTGACAGCTGAGGTTCTGGCTGGTTTTCCAGAGACCTAAAGGAGAGATAGTCTAAGATATAAAGTCCACATTGAGCAATGCCGATGCGCTCAATGGCGTCAGCGTGGAAAGTGCTGCCCAGCAGCCTTCGTGGCTTCCCTCGTTCTCCTGTCCACTCACCTGGTCCAGGGAGAACTGGAAGTTCCCTCAGCTTCCTGCCGTCTCACTTCCAAATTTATCTCTGCCTCTGAATTGTTTGGATTTTTGTTTGTTTTGCTTGAGTCATAGTCTTGTTCTGTGGCCCTGGCTGGCCACAAACTCACAGAAATTGGGTTTCCTTGCCTTGCCCTGCCTTTTTTTTTTAATTGTTCTGTTAGATGCTATCACCATCATTATTATTCTCATCCCCATATTATTAGAGATAAGGAAATTGAAGCATAAAGATCTTTTAATTATCACACTTGAAGTCATTTTTCCTCTTTGCCACACACTCTAATGGCAACCTAGGTAGAAGGACACTGTGGAGACTTCATCTTGAGCAGAGATTGGTCAGGCATGGAGCTGGGTTGTGCTGTAGATTATATTGAAGGCGGGGTGTGACCAAGGAATGGTATTCCACTCTAACTCTGACTGCCATTGCCTTCAGATGGTGTGTATTGGTACACTAGGTTAAAGAACTCCAACTCTAGAGGAACCAATGATAATAGGAGGCGTTATTGTTGGAATGTATGATAGCAAATTCTTTTGCTAGGGTGAAGTGTGCTGGGGCACACTTTTAGTCCCAGCACTTGGGAGTCAGAGGCAGGCAGATCTCTGAGTTCAAAGCCAGCCTGGTCTACAGAGCTAGTTCCAGGACAACCAGAGCTACACAGAGAAACCTGTCTCAAAAAGAATGAAGGAAGTAAGGAAGGAAGGGAGGGAGGGAGGGAGGAAGGAAAGAAGGAAGAGAGAGAAAAAGAAAATAATAAATGAATAAATAGATTTGCCAGGAAATATATTAACCCATTCCCTCTTCCACCTTCTTCTGCAGTGGACACTCCTTGAATGTTTCTATCTTTGCCGGGGGTGGGGAGGGTTCTGTTACTTTGGAGTAACCAAAAGCTGCTGTCCTATTGAGGGAGGAAACATACATTTTTGTATATTGTTGTTGTGTATCCAGGCTGGCCTTATACTCACTGTGCAGCTAAGTAACACTGAGCTCCTGATCTTGCTGCCCCCATGCTCTGAGTGCTGGGATTACAAGCGAGCACTACTGCCCACAGCTCTCTTCCTTCACAATCACTTTCATGCACGGCCCAGGCAGACCTGGTCCACTCAGGATGCTGTAAGTCACAGAATCATTACAAGACAGTGCTGGACACAGCATCAGAAAGCACAGCTGCTGCTCACCACTGTGGGTTCCCATGACAATCCTCTCCAAATCCACGATTAGGGGGCTACTGCGATCTCCTGACGGCCTTTTATTATTATTTCTTTTATTTTTGAGATTTTACTCTGATTCGTATTTTCTCTTTCTCCTTCCTCCCTTCCAACCTTCACATATACCCCCTTTACACTCTATTTCAAATTCATGGCCTCTTTTTACATTAACTCTTTGATTACATGTATATATGTGTGTGTGTTTATACACATACATATACATATATGTATATATACATATATATGTATATATATATATAGAGAGTCTTAAATATAACCTGTTTAGCCTGTATAATGTTACCTGTATGTACGTTTTCAGAGCTGACTATTTGACATCGGATATCTAATTGGTGTCCTCTTCCCTAGGGAAGACAATTTCTCCCTCTCTCGGCGTTTCTTATGTGTGTGTGGTTCTTTGTGCAGGGTTGAGGCCTTGTGGTAGTTCTGTCCCTTCCACTTAGGCCTGTCTATTGGTGACATCCTTGTTTCAGCTCATGCTTAGGCAGTCATGTTGCCGAGAGACTTCATGACCGTGGCTCCTGGCAGGCTTTAATCAAGCCTTGTGTGCTTGCCCAGAGCTTTCAAAGAGACAAAGTTCACAGGGCCGAAGTTCTGCCTCCTGCTGAAACATTAATGCCCTAACAATTCCTACCCCTCCATCAGATATGGCATTCTGCCATCTGCCTTTTTACTGATTCCTGGCATTGAGACTTTAAACCAGCATGTGTTTGTAAAATGGAGCTGGTTTAATCTGACTGAAGAAGACATGGATTCATGGGTAGTCAAGCCTTTCAACCAACTTTGTCCTCAGATGACAGATTATGGCATATTTTTAAATAAGCACTTACCAGCACTGATATGTCATCTGCAGTTTCTTCACACTTAGGGGAAATAAAAAAACATTAGATTAATTTGAGATTTCTACAACGGGTTTCCACAAGTCTTCCAGCTTTCTTATTAACTAATGTTGCAAAATATACTACTGGAAGTGACTGTACAGACAATGTAGCAAACACGATCAGGATCTCACATTGGAGCCTCATGTCCTATATGTCCATTTTTTCCTTGCCATGCTTGAGACTGAACTCAGGGCCTTGTTCATACTAGGCAAGGTTCCACCACCAAGCCAGAATCCCCCAACCCTTTGTTACATCTCAGGAAATAACATGTTCACTACCTAATAACTCTTGGAGACAAATAAATGAGATTAATTCGTGTTATTAGTAGAAACTTGTTATTAACTAGGAAGTCTATTTGTTTCACATTTACTACACATTTGTACCTTGAGTCATCAACAGTAGGATCTCTCCTTAAAGATGTCATCGGTCAGGAGGTGGTAGCCTTACACTGCTTCCCCTAGAGCTTGCTTGTTTTTGTTTTTGAGACAGGGTTTCTTCTGTGAATCCCTGACTATTCTGGAACTTGCTCTGTAGACCAGGTTGGCCTCCAACTCAGATCTGCCTATTTCTGCCTTCCAAGTGCTGGGATTAAAGGTATGTGCCAGCATGCATGGCTATCCATAGCACTCTTAAAAACCTGTGATATACTGAGAAACAAAGGATGGTGACGGGGGCTCTATTTATGCAGACACTTGAACATAACTTGTGTATGTTCGGATTTATGCATTTGACTGTGGATTTACTCAAGGGGCAATCCTGTCAACTTTCTGACTCCCCAGTTTCTTACCACATATGAACATACAACATTAAGTTTTCACATTTACCTGAAATCGTATTCTCTATACAGGGCACACAGAGACATTAAAACCAATAGTAACAGGATTAGTATTTTGTATCTCATTCTTTTCCTAGAGGAAAAAGAAGATGAGAGTTGAATAAGTTTAGTGCTATCTAAAGAGTAGATACAGAGCAGTGGAAAATCCTGTGTACACAGAGTAAGCTGTGGGGAACTCTGTGTGCACAGAGTAAGCTGTGGCAAACCCTGTGTACACAGAGCAAGCTGTTGGGAACCCTGTGTACACTGAGTAAGCTGTTGGTAACCCTGTGTATACAGAATAAGCTGTTGGGAATCCTGTGTATATAGAATAAGCTGTGGGGAACCTTGTGTATACAGAATAAGCTGTGGGAAACCTTGTGTACACATAGTAAGCTGTTGGGAAACCCCGTTATATAGAGTAAGATGTTGGGAACCCTGTGTATACAGAATAAGCTGTGGGGA